CGATTGCTGTGTTCTTGGATATCCGTGCAGCCTTCGATTCTGTCGATCGGACTGTACTGTGGCACTGCCTGCTGAGGAATGGCGTCCCCGAGAAGTTCGTCTCCATACTGCGCTCTCTATGGTCTGACCTCGGTCATTGTTAGGGCTTATGGCATGCTTTCGCCTACCTTTGTAGTCTCCAGTGGAGTTCGACAAGGATGCTCTATCTCTCCGTTCCTATTCAACTTTGCCATTGAGGAGGTCCTGAAGAAAGCTCTGAGCAATTCGTTGAACACCGGCGTTGAGCTCCTCCCATATAGTCGAGTTGTTTTGGATTATGCTGATGATATCGTCTTGCTGGGTGGCGATCAACACGTCGCCCAACTTACACTAAACGGCTCGGCGATTGAATCATTAAAGTATGGTATGTACTTTTTGCCATCCAAATGCGAGGTTCTCTTTCAAGATTGACAAGTGCCTGTTCTTGCACTCGCTTTTGGTGGTGAGACACTAGAGGTTGTGGAGAGCTTTGTCTACTTGGGAAGTTACATCACTGCTGGCGGGGCTGTTAGAGACGAGATCTCGATGCGCATCTCAAGAGCACGTCTCGCATTTTCTAGGCTGAGGCACTTGTGGCATCGCCATGACATTCGTCTCACCATCAAAGAGCGAGTCTATGCTGCAACTGTTCATGCTGTACTCTTGTACGGATGCGAGACCTGGGCCCATTCATAAAGGTGATTTACGCAGACTGTCCCTCTTCGAGCACCGCTGTCTGCGTTTCATTGCCCGTTTGTAGTGGTGGCACCACGTAAGCAATGTCGAAGTTAGACAGCCACTCGCTCGAGGAGCTCATCTCACTGCATCAACTGCGGTGATTGGGACACCTATTGCGCATGTCTGTTCAGCGTTACCCGCGTCCTGCGTTGTTTGCGGTTGCTGGACAGGGCTGCAAGAGACGATCTGGTGGACAGCTTGCAACTTAGAGATGCCGCATGAAAAAGCTGACGAAACCGTTGGCCTCGGCCGGTTGTTGTCTACCTGCTTGGAGTCCGAGAGATGCGGATAATTGCCGGTTGAAGACCTTGGAAGCCATGGCTCAAGATCGATGTCAGTGACGGACGTGTGCATCGGTGTGTTGCGTTTTCCCTCCTTCCTCACCCTAAAATATCAAAAACTGTGAGTGGCAAATTGGACACAAAAGCTCTTGTTCTTGTTGATTTCTTATTATTCATACTGTTTTCCTATTCAGCATAGATTCCGATTGCGCAGGCGGTGAGGTCCTGCCTGGTGAAAGGGTATTTGATCTTGATTATACGGACGATATCGTCTTGCTTTTTGACGATGTTGCGGCAGCTCCATCAGCCCTGAATAGCCTGTCTAGAGTGGTCCCATTATTTGGTATGCGCTTCGCCCCCTCAAAGTTCAAAGTGTTGCTGCAGCACCACCAGCCACTTGATGATCCCTTAACCCTTGATAACCAGGAACCCGAACTGGTTGATCGATTCACTTCCCTTAGCAGCTGCATCAGCAACGATGGGCACCTAGAAATTGACATCAGCTCACGCATAGCAAAAGCCACAATTACCTTCTTGAACCTGCGACATCTTTGGCGACAGAAGGGAGTTTCCCCCCGTCTGAAAGGCCGTGTATACAAGGCCACAGTGAAAGCTGTCCTACTCTATGGTATTGAGACTTAGCCCCTTCCTTCTGATCATCGTTGTCTGCTAGGCATTGCTGGTGTCGGATGGCACCAGCGTGTCCGCAACGATGATGTGCGTAGACTAGTACTAGGTAGTGATAATCATGCTAGCTCACTAGAACAACAGATAGCACTGAATAAGTTGCGTTGGCTTGGGCACATGCTACGTATGTCTGGTCACCGCTTACCTGGGAGGGTCTTGTTTAGTCACCCAGGTAGAGGGTGGCGCAAAGCTCGAGGTGGACAGAAGTTGACTTGGCAGTGGGAAATGAAGTCACTGACGACCAAACTGGGTGACGTTGGTTCGTCTCGCCTTCCGGGCTGGAGTCCACATGACTCGCCTTGTGCTTGGCACGAGACTTTACAAGACACGGCTCGCAACCGACACCAGATTGCCTGCTTAAAGTGTGTTTGGTGCTGAGTTATCTGCTGGGTACTGGCTGATTATGAAGCGGTGGAGTGAAAGCCGCAAGGAAGCTGTCTCACCGATGCCGCCTTACCGTTGCACGATAGCCAGCCGGTCTGTTCCTAACACTAGGCGTAGGCACTTTGACCCTGAATGTTTGCTTAGGGTATTAAGGTTTTCAGGTAAGTTTTCATTTTCTCCCTCTTCTTATTCTTTATTTTATAGGTCATCATGACTGTATGGCAGCGAAGCATCAGTTCAAATGACTGATGTACTGCGGTTTGTTGAAGATCGACGACACAATATCTGTACCACATCATATATATATGTATATGTATATATATATAGTACTTACACATGCATTTTGTAATTATCTTGGATTCGCTGATAACCAGTTTACTCCATATGCTCATTTAGCGAGTATTTATCTCGTGAAATGTTTACTTTATTCGATATCTTTTATTTGACATCGGCATTTCGAATGACTGGCTGTTGTTTAACATCCGGCTAACTTGCCGAACAACCTCTTGATGCCAGCTGGGTGGTTCGGGATTTTCCCGTTCCAGCAAATGGTTCGGCGGCAGTGTTCCAGGACGTGGTGGGTTTTCGCCTGGCAAGCGTTCTCCCTATAAAAAGCCACATATGCCCTTTTAACAACACTGTGACGTGGCGGATGTGACTCGCCACTAAATAAAGTCACTGCCCCTTGCTTCATACTGGCGAAGTATCGTATTCCAGCAACTTTATGCTCTAATTCTGGGGAGCATTGGACCCCTGTTTGACAAGAGAACAAACGAATGGCGTATGAACTGAGAAATCAGTCACCGGCTCCTAATGGGCGCGGTTCCCTGAATTCGCTCCGCTGCCTTGCGGACAGGCAAATCAGCCAAAGCCTCGGAGTGGTGTCCCCTAAGTCAACACCCTACTTCGGCTTGGGCGACCGGGTAGTATCTGGCCCTCTGACGAAACCATAGACTTTTCTGTGTTGTGTTTTGCTTTCCGTTACTATTTCTGTACCTTCTTTTGAGTCCCATGATTTCTGATGGCTCTATGTCTATTCGCAGACTGTTGCGATACATATATTTGACATCCCAGTTGTGGCTGCGCTTGATGTGCATGTTGACAAGGTGCCTACCTGCCTATTACCCACTACTTCGTCCATACTGGCTCCAGGCGACAGTTGGTCGTTGCTGGAGAGGACGGGGTGCACGGTCCTTGTGTTAGGTTCAAAGAGTGGTTCTATGTACATGGTTTGTGTGTAGATCGGGCTACGGCCTGACCACCAGCTTGTGTTCGGTTGATTCCCCAATTGCGGCATGCTTGTGTTTGCTTGTGTAGGGGTATGGACCGGTTCCGTTGATGAAACGTGGCTCCCATTCACATGCCTCCTTCGGGTTTACACTGGAACTGTGGGTGGTGCAGCGCAAGCCATCCATAGTCCCTCTCTATTCGCCGGCGTCCTGTGGAGGCCACAGTGACAGGCGAATCCGGAACTGGATGCCACCAACCTTATTTAAGTTAGTGCAGATACGCGTCTGTCTCGCCGTTGATACTCAGTTCCACTGGTCGTGATTGGCGCATCCACGGTAAAAGGCATGAGACTCAGTTAGATGTTCTGGAATGACTATGTGATATTTCCTTCTCCCTGCTGACTCCTCCCTTGGAACTCACTTTTTCCCCTTTACAAGTTTTCGTTTTATCCTTCATTTAAACGAAATTCCCTTCTGTTTTCTTGATTCGTATTCTTTTATCTTATTTCACGTCACCGACACAACGGGAACTGCTAATGCCGGATATGGGGGCATTCATTGGTTGACCAGGTTGTATTTCGTTTTAGGTCCGACAGGATTACAAAGCATTTTATTTATCCCTGCTTCAACGGGGGAAGGATCACGCACTTATTCTACAGTTCCAGTCCCACTTGAACTGGAACGAGTCGAAATTACCCCTCAGAAACCGGATCCCAACTTTTCTCTAGGCTCTGATAGATTGAATCTCGTATTCCACAAGGCGATAGCCGAGCACGTTGCCAGTCCCATCTGTCAAGTATTCCGGCACCCCTAGACTGGAAAGTAGACATCACGGTGCTCAGCTACAAAGGAGGAAGTCATCGAGCTACTACTACTACTACTGGCAAAGGCAGGCATCGACAATACGTCGGTACTGCGTACCGACGCTTCGCTGCCGCGCGATCACCAGTCGCACAATGGCTCAGGATACTGCGAGGGTCGCCCGGTCCCTACGCAGCTTCGAATCCGTGCGCTCGGATTACAAAGCAGACTTGTTATCTTTAAGGCTGAGCCAGCCGAACTACTGGTCAGTATGCCTGACATCAATCGTCTGCAAAACTGTGGCAAGATTCTTCACACGCGCCTTCCAGCAACACTGTGATAACTTAAACGTTATCTCTCCTTATCAGTTTGACTTCCGGAGAGCACGCTGCTGCGTCCCCAACTTGCATCTTGCCAGGAAAACAGACAGAAGCCATAAAATCCCAATAATACGTAAGCGCGCTTTTCATCGACTTCAGGTTAGGTTTTGACAAAGTTCCACAGAACGGTTGCTGCTCAAACTTCAGAAGATTGTTGTCACAGGTAATGTCCTCTCCTGGATAATCGGTTTCCAAAGAGGCCGCACCTCGGTAAGCCGATCGTGCTCAATGAATTGGGCTGCAATTTTTCACATCTCCGCTATGCTATGGAAACCGCTTTCTTTTGATTAGACACATCACTTGTTTATCTGTTTGTTTGTTTCCAATACTACTAATGATTACCCTTTTGCTTTCCTGCAGGTTTCTTCAAACAATAGTTTCCGTTGCGCGCGCTGACGAGGGTGTTACAACGCGAATACACTTTAGGTTAACATTTTCCTATGCCCCACTAATCCCAATCCTCCTCGACACCTGCTATCTGAATGAAACGGAAATCTGTGGACAAAAATGCGGCCTCCCTTGCCTGCGCGGACGGTATGAGCGCGTCTACTTTCTTACCGAAACTTTAGGTCTCAGCGATGTGAGCGAACCTGAGGAATCCTTCGACGATCAAATTCATAGCCTCAAGCAACAGCTCAAACAGTTGGAGGCAAAAACACACCCAGGTACCATGCTCGTTACTTTTTCCCCATCCATGGTTTTTCGCAGAGTACTTGAAAGTCAAACGGAAAGTGGACGCTTGGTTAGCCGAAGAAAAGCAACGAGTTCATGTACTACACGAACACCGGGTATTTCACTCTTTGAGTTGTCCTTAATTGCCTTATTTAACTTTCCCTCTAGCTCGAAACCATATCTCGTGAGTACAAAAAAGAGGTTGCATCGTGTGATCGCGACTGCGCGGTATGTTATTTTAACTGTGATACTCCAATGTTATTGGTTGTCTTGTCTAGCTGGAGAAACGACGCACTCAGGAATATTTGGTGTCCCTTTGCGAAGAATTAAAACGACGTCTGGAACACGATAAGAAGAACATCGAGTTAACACCAAGTGGTGGTAAGTCTTCCCACTGTCTACCCACCTAAAACACGCCGCTTTTTTCGCTTCGCCTTTGACTTCACCTCTTCGCTCAGGATTTTCTCCGTCGTTGAGATCAACGCTGCTTGTTTTCCACAATAAAGCTGTAGCTACCGACTTCCATCGGTTCACACTGTACCCCAGTCACTTCACCTGGTTTTTACGGTCACTGGTTTATCGGGTCATATTGGTTATGGTATCAATGCATCACGATAAACCGGAGCTGGAGTTCACTCTCTACCTTCATGTGTCATGATTTTGTACTCCGTAGGAGACCAAACAGCATGCGACGCACCAATTCCACCTCTATTTCTCGCATGTATGCTCACGCTGTGATTCCTCACAACTCCACTCATTCAGGCAGCCATTGCATATCCGGAATGGCACCGGACAGGTGTGTCATTTTTTCGGGATTCATCTTCATCAGCACAGTGCGCACTCCGTCTGCCAGTGTTAACTAGTTCCAGGCATCCATTGCCGGACGGGCTGGAAGCTCTGTGCCGACTAGCTAAGTTACGACTCATCTGCACTGCAGATGTCACCTCGATTGGTAAAGAAGCTTTGTGTAGTCGAATCGCTCAGTTTGTCGAACAAGTTAGCGCCATTGTACCCAACTCGAGCTACCAATATTTTGGCTTTCTCGCAGCCTTGCTTGTTCGAGTCAGTGTTGAAGGCCGCTGAGCCACAGAGTACAAAGCGACCAGTTTAATAGATATGACGGTGCAACTCAATCTTCACTGGTTTGCACAGCTGTAGCCTGCTAAGCGCGGCCGGTGTCTTGGGGGACTACGTGCCTGCCTTGTAATCCGGAAATCACTGCTTCGATTTCGCTTAGGTGCGTACGATCTCGCGATATATACAACCCATGCTCAATAGCTGGTGTTTGTTTGGCAACGAAATGTGTACTGGCGTATTGCCTTTCTTTTCTGCCGACCACATTATCATTGAAAAATGTTATTCTCGCGTGCACTGTTGATCAAACATTTCCTAGGTGATTTCATCTTCTACAAATCTGTTTCTTTGTGGCGCAGGAAAAAACTTAAGTCTAACATTAGGATTCACGTCGTCTTGCACCCGTGACATTTTTCCACGCCTGATAACTATAAAGGTCAACATCGAATTGCCTAGGCTCGAAGGACTTGCTACCATGCCTCCGCTATTTGCGGCGGCTGACTCCGGAGAATACACGACAGTCTTCAAAATAGCAAGAAGAAACAACCTTTCAACAGAATAATCTGAATTCAGATATTTCATGTCTTATCAACAGCTGTGTACAGACAATCTGTGCAATCAGTATGTTGCACACACGATGGTAAGACAATGCGTGAAATCGTTATGTTTAGATAAATGTACTCGATAATTTCACTAGGGCAAGGCGAGTGTAGTCACAAACTCCGTTTCCTTACATAAGTTGGGTTTCAGTCGACGAATTGCTGAAGCCTATGTAAACTGGAGCAGGCAAGCAGTGATCTGTCGATTAAGGAGTTTGCACGATTCCCGCGGGTGTTGGCACGTAGGGCAATCGAGAATATGTTGGGTGATGGGACTTGGGAGCATTTTAGGGCTATTTGCCACCAGGTTACGTGGGACATGTTCTGAAATATTTCTTGCTTTTTGAAGTTTGTGAAGGGAAAATCCCGTGTGAAATTTCTCAAGACGCGACATTCTTTTTTGACTTCGTAGGAAATTCCCTCAGCATCACGTCTTTGCAACTCTCCTTCAATCCAGTCATTCATTTCTTTTCGCTCATCCTTTAGCAACGTAACGTGTGCAGTGATGAGTTGCCGGTTTCGAGACCTCTCATTTTCGTCATTGCGAGTGTGTTGTTCATCTAGTCGGTGTTTCGTGCACAGCGACAATCACTTTTCAATTCTGAATGTTGCGTCCTTTTCATTAGCAGTTCACGAGCAACACGCATTGTGACCCTTTCCACTGACTCGTTAATCTCCAGATGCTTACTTTAATCCACACACTTTCTTCCATGTGCCATTTATTTCAGATGTTTTGGACTTCAAGCCCGCAGTCACCCGTAAACTCCGTCGTCGTGGTGGCACAGATCTTCCAACCGCGGGATATTCCAATTTCATGTATTGGGGTGATCTTCTCCTTTGTGGTACTAACTGGCCATTGGGTGGGAGCTCCAATGCGTGTAAAAGCAGTACGCCGGAGCTTATCTCCAATTCGGAAGTGAAGAGCCCAGCAACGAACGCTGGCTCAGATTTCCCACAGGACAACACCATGGCTCCGACAAACGACTCGGAGTACACCGACTCCACGAAACCGGTGAGAAACGGTGCTACGGGTGCCACTGATACCGGACTTCAGGATGGCAATGTGACCGTGACATCTAGCTCATTGAAGAGTAATCTGTTCGGCAGTCTAGGTGTGAACTTGTTTGACGGTAGTTTACTTTCCCACTTACTTGCGTCCATCAATAGTGTGGGCACCAATACATGTGGCCTGAACAACTATTTGTCTGTGAACACCGCGAGCAATTCCTTTCTCGGAGGCGGCTGCAGTTTTCTTAATGGCCCACCTCCTGGCTCCGCTGCTGCTGCTGCTGTCGCCGCCGCCGGCCTAGCAATACCTTCGGTGCTAACTAGCACTTCACCGAACAATTTGGTTGCCGCACTGGGTCCGGTCGCTACCGGTCTCACAGGCGGAATTCAGCCTTCTGCAAAGAAACGTCGGCAACAAAATGCCGTCCCCACGGCTCAGCTTAATCTTTTACTTCCCGAGAATGATATTTACTCGGATCTTACGGTCATTCACAGGTATGCCATATCTAGTATCTTTTGATCATGCATCTCTTTGCTAACACTACTGTCGACAAATATTTATTGAATCACTACCGTTCACAAACTACACGTCCATGGCACGCGAATGCTTACGATGGGAATAAGGCTTGGTTCAACCAGACGTTTTTATCTCTACGGTAACTTGCACTAATTTTCCTTCAGTTTATACTTTTCTTCCTCCAGCCTCAGCAACAGGTGTTACACATTTCAGATTGTCTGGGGAATTAAGACAGCTACTTTACATGTCCCATAGAAGTCCCACGCTCAAAGAAGGAAAATCCGCACTTTTACTTCAACTAGTTTGCAATACTTTTTCCGTAGCTTCTCCAAACTCCGTGCTTTAGGGTTTTCTTTCACACAGTGCCCTGGTCGAAACGCCAGCATGAACTTGCAACTTCCTCCACGAAGTCAACGGCAATTCATCAGCACTTCGAACTGGTAATTCCTTGCTGTGTAACCGTAATGACCCCGTAGATAAGCGGGGATAAATGGCTAAAGAGGTGACCTGATGTGAAACCTCAATGGCCTGGGTAACTACTCGACATCAAGGCTCATACACGTTGTCACCACCACGTCTAAGGGCGTAATCCGATCCGTTACTGTGACGTGACCCAACTAGATATGCGAGATGGTTGGCGCCATCCGGTTCCGGATTTGCCTACTACTGTGGCCTCCATAGGACTGGTAACACACTGAGTGATAGATCATTGGATTGGAAGTGCTTACAGATCGTTTGTTGTGTTTTTCGTTGCTGTTTGTGTATGCAGAGCATTGGAATAAAGAATTATGCGCAAAGCAAGAGATCGTTGGGGTATTAGAAGGAACTTTTCCCTGTACACCAATGGTACCCTTTGCAGATTATGTGATTATCCATTTGCAAGCCGCAAGCTCAGTAATCAGCTTGTTACGGTGCCCATAGGGCACCAATCATAAATGTGCTACGTTAAGCGATGTTCAACAGCCTGTGCTCCTTCCCCGAGTAAACGATTACACTCTAAACCTATTTCGCTCCAATCTGTTATATCAATATCTCCTGTTCAGCTCGCATATACTTCTTTATGCCAATGCTCTGCATACACAAACAGCAGTATGTAGCATGACATCTGTTCGCATGCTTGATATTTGTCATCTTTGGCCAGTGATTGCCTTTATGAAATGTTTACTTCTGGGCAGCTTTTGAGATTGCACTACGCTTTCTCACAACCAGGGAGAGTTGAACTCGGTCGTCCACTTTTGACTCCTGTCTGGTCGCGTGTGCCGAGATGTGTATTAGGACTCTGGCTATTCATCATTGCAATGCAAAAGGGTTTACTTGGTGCCAGCTTTCCTGCGTAAAAACCACGATCCTTGTTCAGTCTACCAGGTGTCGGATGGCGCAAGGCTCGAGGTGGACAGAAGTTGACTTGGCAGCGGAAAATGAAGTCACTGACGACCAAACTGGGTGCCGTTGGTCCGTCTCGCCTTCCGGGTTGGAGCCCACGTGACTCACCTTGTGCTTGGCTCGAGACTTTACAGGACATGGCTCGCAGTAGACACCAGTGGCGCGTCTGCTGCCGTCTCCTAATTGGATTGTCTGTTTAAAGTGTGTTTGGTGCTGAGTTATCTGCGGGGTAATGGCTGATTATGACGCGTGGCAGTGAAAGCCGCAAGGAAGCTGTCTCGCCGATGCCGCCTTATCTTTGCACGATAGCCAGCTGTTTGTGACGGAATGTTGTTAACACAAGGTGTAGGCGCCTTGACCCTGAATGTTTGCTTAGGGCATTAAGGTTTTCAGGTAAGTCCCCCTCCTCTCCCTCTTCTTATTCTTTATTTCATAGGTCCTCATGGTTGTATGGCAGTGAAGCATCAGTTCAAATGGCTGATGTACTGCTGTTGATGATGATGATGATGATGAGGGGATAGGTGAAGGCCAAACGCAGGGTTACTGCAGCATAGGTCTTATAGTCTGGTCGTATGCGCGCACAGTCGCACGTGGACCTTAAGCGAGGTTTGTATTTAGCTTGTTATCCGGGTTCCGCGTTGAAATAAACCACAGCTTTGAGAGTGCGAGTGCGACTCAGGCGCCACGTGTCGTAAAGTGTGATCCCCACAGAGTAGATCCAAGTGGCGGAGTGCGCTGGATGCCGCTCGTCCAGCTGGTTCGAATGCGTGTAAGCACGGGGGAGTGCGATGAGAATTGCGAACATAATTCCGAAAAGTGTTAGAGGGCTGCGAAGAGCAATCTCGTGGTCTGCTCTTGCGCTGACCCATTGGTATGCGCCTGGCCGTCCCAGCTGGACGTACTTGGGACGACTTTTCGGCACTCAGAAATTTTTTCCGCGCACCCTTTACATGTAATGCGAATGTTTTTTCCTGGTTGCAAATACCGTGAACTATAAGCGGAAAACGATTTCCAATTTGTAATTACGCAATCTTATAGCCATATGACCAACGCGATAATTCATTTGAGTGACGGAAATTCGTCCTAAGTGTGTCCAACTGGGACGGCGGGGGGGCATGCAAATCGGTCACTTTGGTTGTTCCGACGGTCACACGCGCACCTAATAGAATTAAGCTCTTAATAAAATGTAATAGCTCATGGGCAAGGAACAAAGGTGTTAAAGACGTTGAACATTATTTAACGACATATCTGGTCATGTAAGCCTTTTATTCACACATTCACTTATTGCCTCTGCAAACACCCGAAAACACGCCCAGATAAGACGGCTAGCCGTCCTATTGTACGGACAGGATAGTACATCAACAGTTCATCGTAGCATAGGTGCATGCGTGATTGTGGTTCACGCCCTCACAAATTACGGGACTTGTTAGGCATTAACTTTCTTGCCGGTACGAACTCATTAGAGCTGTAAATTCACTCTTCATGGATGCACGGAGCAAATTCTTGATTTGACCTGTCTCGCTTATTCAATGTGTCACACTAACTTGAAAAACAACCGGTGCTATCCGTATAACATAAACTAAGACTACCGCAGTAAATTTTTAGTATGCATCTTGGTACCTAGCCAATCGCATCTCTTGATGTCAGGAAGCTTCGTGCGCTGCGGTCGTCACGTCAGTGATGTCGCCTAAGTGCACCGGTTTACATACGAGTTAGCAGTTTGACCATGCTAAATTGTTACGTACCGATTCAATATGCCACTCGTTTTTCGCATGTTGGCCCGCGCGCGCCCAATGTACCCATTGCACGCAAATGCTTGCTGGGACAAGGACCTGGTAACTTTAGGTGCAAGGACATTGACTACCGGCTGTGATGGAATGCGAAACAAGTAACCACTCTTTCCGCCGACAGGATTTGTTAAAGGGATAAGGTGGGCTATGCTCCAACCCCGTCTTACACTGTCCCAACTTCATTCTACTCCACAACTTCTGGCGCAACACACCACTAGTCTCATCCCCGTCATGCAATCCGTCATCGCCCTGGGAGTGAGCATATGCGTTCGGAACCCTTTCGCCCCCCGTCGTGACTACATTTCTTTCCATACTTGCACCCGACATCCTATTGGCTGACAGCGCCTGCCCAATGAGGCAGCTACGCGATGGTGCATGCAAAAGCTACGGCCGATGCATGGCGGACGAATTCAAATCACTGCGGCCTAACTTGACTGCCGTATGGCCTAAAATGTGTGATCGTATAGTAATCTTTTGCGGACGTAATTTGCTCGGCTCGCCGGAGTCTGGATGATAATTTGGAAAGATTGCGTTGTGTTAACATTCCGCTTGCTGTCATCAGCGGCGACACAATACAAGCAGGACAAAATACGTCTTAAATACGGTCCGCACTTAGGAACATAGATAAACGCACAAAATTGGTGTGTGACGTAATCAGGTCCATGACAATATAAAAGTGTTTTGAAGGGATCAGCTGACTCTGTAACACCCTCTGTCGTTTAGATATGTAGTTATTGAAGAGTTGGCTGTTTCTCTTTTACTATTTCTAAGCCCGACCGGGTGATGTTCGTTCACTGTCTCACACAGGCTCCTTGTCGTACGATCAATGTATTCCGCTCCACAAAGGCATGAAAATGAGTCAATACCCGTTGATTTGGTGTGAACGGGCCTCTTATCTTTCGAGTTTTGTGTCACCATCGGTGTGCTGGTGAACTGTATTTATATCTGTGATGCTGAGTAGGTTCACCTGGATGCAAACGAAAGATGACGATATGGAAGTTCCGTCACAACTTTACCTTTGTATCACAGCTGTAGTAAGGTTGGCTTACCTTCTACTGTCAACACTACAGGCTGTTTCTTCTTCTGTTCAATGTTGACTAATAAACCTATCCCGATAGCCATTCTCTCCTACCACTGCGTGAATGCACTCCTTTTTCTTCGGAAGCATGTCTTTTAAGCAGATGCGTTCCGCTCGGCTCACTAGGGTATGTATCCAGTTCCCGTTTAAAACTAAGTGACATAAAGCTAGAAATTTGTATATTACCCATTCCAAGTATTTTACCTATGTCAACAATGCTGCACCCCACCCTCGTCAAATCTTCTCAAAGCAACCTCGACTGTTTCGCTCAACTTCGCAGGTGCACATTAGTGATGGATGGCATTGGTTGAATGTGTTTGTTAGTTCCTCGATACTTCGTGAGATTTGAAGCAAAACAAGGATGTCGTCTAGGTAACGGCAATCTAAACTGAGATCTGAGATCCTTAGCTTTAACTTTCCTTGTTCCAGCCTACCCATGAAGAAATCGGCGAGGAACGGTCGCAGTGTGGAACCCATTGTGACCCCATCACACTGCCGGTATACTTCGCCATTAAATAGAAACCGAACATTGAAATTGCATCTGAGCAATAATTCCTCTAGGGTTGCCGTGGGTATGCCAATATTAATGTGGCTTGCCTCGACATACTCACAGATGTAATTTATGTCCTCAACTATTGGCACGTTAGTGAAGATTGAAATAACGTCGATGGAGCGCATGGTTAGATCCGCAACGTTCACGTCACGTGCAATATCCACCAATTCAACA